TGTATATATTTATTTATTTATTTATTTATATAAGCAGCAACTCAAATCCAGGGCCCTCTTCGATGCTGGCTCTGAACCTATTATGCTCAGCTATTTATTTATATTTTTGTTTATTTATATATTTTTATTTTATTTTATTTATATTTGTTTTTTATTGTCTATATTTTTATGTATTATATGTATATATTTATTTATTTATTTATATATAGCAGCAGCAACTCAAATCCAGGGCACTCTTCGATGCAGTCCATATAAATATAAATATATTAATTATATTGTTTTATTTGTCTTCTACTAAAAATAAATAAATATATTAATTTATATATTTATTCATATACTAAAAAACAAATAAAACATTAACTAATATATTAATATATTAATATATTAATATATTTGTTTACTTATTCATATATTTATATATTTATATATTTATTTATTTATTTATATATTTATATATTTATATATTTATATATTTATATATTTATTTATTTTTTTTTTTATTTATTTATATAGGAATTGTTTTGTTGAGTTTCTGCTGCACTTTGCTTCGTCTACTGCTGAGCTGCGTTCTCGGTTGGCCCGCCAGGCAGCAGCAACACGCTCCCGCCGCCTAGAATTAAATATGAAGGTATTTATAATCCTGCTGCTGCTGCTGCTGCTGCTGCTGCTGCTGCTGCTGCTGCTGGTGATGCTGGTGATGCTGCTGCTGCTGCTGATGCTGCTGCTGCTGCTGGTGCGGGTGATGCTGGTGATGCTGCTGCTGGTGATGGTGATGCTGCTGCTGCTAGTGGTGATGCTGCTGCTGCTGCTGCTGCTGCTGCTGCTGCTGCTGCTGGTGCGGGTGATGCTGCTGCTGCTGCTGCTGCTGCTGCTGGTGATGCTGCTGCTGCTGCTGGGGCTGCTGGTGGTGATGCTGCTGCTGGTGATGCTGCTGCTATATATATAATAAATTTATAAATAAATAAAAAATAGATAAATAAACAAATTTATAAATATATTTGTGTATACAGCTGGAGTACAGCCGCGCCGCTCGAGACTTCAGCCGGCTGCATGCATATATATATATAATAAACAAACAAATAAATAATAAATAAATAAATAAAAAACTAAATAAATAAATTTATAAATATATTTATTTGTGTATACAGCTGGAGTACAGCCGCGCAGCCCGAGACTTCAGCCGGCTGCATGCAGTGCTGCCGAAGCGGCTGCTGCAGACGACCCTCCTTTGCTGCGACTTGGCTCATAGAATTAAAAAACTGCTGCAGCCATGTCAGTGCTGCTGCTGCTGCTGCTGCTGCTGCTGCTGCTGCTGATGATGATGATGATGCTGCTGCTGCTGCTGCTGCTGATGATGATGATGATGATGATGATGATGATGATGATGCTGCTGCTGCTGCTGCTGCTGCTGCTGCTGATGATGATGATGATGATGCTGCTGCTGCTGCTGATGATGATGATGATGATGATTATGATGATGCTGCTGTTGCTGCTGCTGTTGTTGTTGCTGTTGCTGCTGTTGTTGTTGCTGTTGCTGCTGTTGTTGCTGTTGCTGCTGCTGCTGCTGTTGTTGTTGCTGTTGCTGCTGTTGTTGTTGTTGCTGTTGCTGCTGTTGTTGTTGCTGTTGCTGCTGTTGTTGTTGCGGTTGCTGTTCCTGTTGCTGCTGCTGCTAGAGCTATTACTAGTGTTGCTGCTGCTGCTGCTGCTGCTGCTACTACTACTGCTACTACTACTACTACTACTACTACTGCTGCTGCTGCTGCTGCTGCTGCTGCTGCTGCAGGCACTGACGCGGGCGGGTGTGTCTGATGCGAGGTTTATATATCAGCTGGGGCGGCAGTGGCAGTCTCTTGTTGCTGCTGAAAAAAAACAAGCAGCAAACCAACTGCAGCAGCAGCAGCAGCAGCAGCAGCCGGAACTCACCGGGCCCCCAATGCAGCGCATTGGCTGAGCATCCTGCTGCTGCTGCTGCTGCTGCTGCTGCTGCTGCTGCAA